AGACCGCCCTTAGATCTAGAGTTACATATCATTTCCCATGCCACTTTTGAAATAAAAGACTCTTCCTCCTTGGCATATGGTTTCCAAATGAACTTTGCGGCCCTTCTCTTAGTTAGAGAGTACAATCGCTTACCAAGAACCCTCACCGTTCCCACGAACCAGAGCAGTGTGAACAGGGCTCCATTTACTACCAATGCCCTGCCGAAAAACGATAAATGAGGAGCCTTACCCCCTGTCATCATTCGATGCATTGATTTCTACAGTAGAAGATCATCTTGATCTCCATTGCAGTCCAAAAGTGATATTTGAACTCCTAGGAAACGTTCAGATTGATTGTCATGTACACGTTTCATTCCCCATTCACATATAATGGTGTACACCATTGGGAGCAGATAGGCTGACTTATGCCAATTAACCGAAGCCTCCGAGAGATTAAAATACACATCGAGCTCCTGTTTCAAAGCTCCCAATGATTCCACTGTATTCTCCGATATCGCAAATAGGTCGTCTGCCAATGCCTTGACTTTGCATTGGGATACACCTATTTGGAGACCTTTGATACGCATTTGGGCACGAATGTTGTTCAGTAATACTTCCATTTGGACTGCAAATAATAGCGGTGCAAGGGGACATCCCTCTCGCAACGAACGGGTAAGACTGAAGGATTTTGACACATGGCCATTAATTATCACTGATGCTGTAGAAAGGGTGTACATGGCAGTAATCCATTTACATAAGTTTTTCCCAAACCCTATTACTTTCAGCGTTGTAAGGACATACGACCAGTTTACCCTGTCATATGCCTTTTCTAAATCCAACAGCAGAACTGCTATGTTAAGGGAGTCATTCTGTACAATCTCCAATGTCTCAATAGCGGTGACTATGTTGTCAAAAATGGATCTGCCCTGTACGAAGGCTGCTTGGTCGTTAACAACCAGTGATGGGAGATATTTTTCAAGCCTTCTAACCAGGATTTTCGCTAGCAATTTATAGAAGACATTTAGCACAGAAATCGGCCTCCAATTTCCAATTTCTGCCCGGTCCCCTTTTTTAAACATTATTGATATAACACCATGACGCATATTCTCTGCTAGCTTTGCCCCCATCAAACTGTCGTTATAAATCTCTACCAAACTATCCCCCACCTTGCTCCAAATAGCCAGGTACTGTTCCACCGGGAGTCCATCATCCCCAGGTGCCTTTCCTTTGGCCATAGCCTGTAGTGCTTCCCATGCTTCCTGTGTCGTAATTGGACGATCCAAGTCGAGCCGACCCGTTTGTGAGATTCTAACTGTCGTGTTGTTCCAATGGTCTGTCTCCTCATCCAGATTATTTACCACTTCCGCTCCTTGCAGTCTTGGCGTTAAAATGTCCTGATAATAGATCACTGCATATTCACATAGGTGCGTGAGTTCTTTGGCTTTTGGTGCAGATGAATCGAAGGGGTGTTGAAGTTCACTCATTGGAACCAATGAACGTCTCAGTAGTAGTTTCTGAAAAAATTCTTAAGTCATACGATCATAAACTGCTATGCCTTTGACAATCAGTCTTTCCGACCAAACTTCTGAATTTCTCTTCTGAAGCTCCTCCCATTCGTTCTTTAACTTTACTATTTCCTTCCCCCAAACCAGGTTGGAGACTGGGTGCTCGGCCATGCGCTGCTCAGCGTACATTATCCTTTTCTTGATTCCTTCTCCCATTCTAGTACGGTGTGTGGCCATGAGTCTAGAAAACACATTCAGCAGATTCGAAAACAATTTCGATCCCGAATTCCACCACTGTTCTCTAGAAGGAAAGTCTGGGCGCGTGGTTTCCCAAGACGTCCAGAAATTCCTCATCCACTCCACTAATCTTGGATCTTCCAGGTTCTGTACATTGAACCGGAAGAGTCATTTTCCCCGATTTGGGGTTGAAATGTTTAGGGATAGGCACATTGGCTTATGGTCAGAGAGAGGGTGAAAAACTTCTTCTACTTCATTTATTACCTCCCACAGCTGCGTAGAAATGAGGAAATAGTCCAGTCTACGGACAATCATACATGTTTTCTCATTGCTATTGGAGAACCACGTGTGCCCTGGCAGGTCGGGATGTGTCAGGCGATATGGATCAATTAAATTAAGCTCATTCATCAGGGTTAACAAGGAATCTTTATCGCATGCATTTGATACAAAGGAAGAAGTAGAATCTAGCGAAGTATTCCAATTTGCGGCTAGTACATTCCTATCGCAATCTGGAATTACATACAGCAACTCATCAAAGAATGTTGTTCCCTCTGGCCGGTCAATCGGGGCATAAATAGAGGCTACAACAAATTTCACATCATCCTTAGCAAACTTCACCCAACACCACTTCCCCCATAAATCCGGGTAGTAATCTATAATTTCTATATTGGCATCACGATGGATCAAAATCGTTGTGCCACCTCCGTTGCCCTTGGCGGGGGACCAAATTTGTGGTCCATCCCACCAATGGCCCAATTCGTTTATCTTATCTTCGTTAAGTTTAGTTTCCTGTAAACAAGCGATATGACATTTGTTATCATGAAGCCAAGTCTTTAACCTACTCCGTTTATCCCTTCTCGTTGTATCACAAAGTCCACTTAAGTTCCACGTGGTCAGGTTCAACTTAGACATTCCCTACCGGTCCACCTGATGAAGGTTGGATACAGGAGGTTGGTTGCAGGGTCTCACTAGGTATCACTTCCCACGGAGAAGTGAGACAATTCTTAACCAATTGTGAGTTCATTTTCTTTGAGTTAGGCAGCCTTCCTTCCACCTGAGCCAAAATTTCCGCGGAACACAGTAGAGGAATTCTAACCCTGGTTAACTCTTGTCGACGTTTTTCAACCAACCACATAAACGGAAGCAATCACAATCCTTCTGTTTCCAACGCTTCTAGCTGTCCAAGTTCGAATCTTGCATCAAAAAGCGGAACGAAGAATTTCAGTTTCTTTCCACGTTGATCCGGATGATCTGTGATTAACCTAACCATCAGTTCATCTCCAATCCACCGGAACTGAAATTTGTTTCGAATTGCTGTTCTAATCAGACTCAAAATTGACGACGGCATCAGTTGCTCAGGCACCGCAATATTGACTAGCGCTTGAGTTCCTTCCATATTGGTGAAGGATACAATCCAGAAGCTATTGCGGGCATAGGTGCAGAACAGGGGTACGATTCTTACCTCGAGGTCTTGAATTTGACCTCTTTGCAATGCCACTGGTGTTCTTCTCCTTGTTGTCTTCGTACCCAATATGCCCCCAATCACATTTTGTGAGCTTTTCGATCCTGGTGGAGAGATCCATTCGTCATTCCTCAGGAAGGAAGCCGATGGGCTGCCTTCTAGGCGCCTTTGCTTGCCTAAGGCATTTGCTCTCGAACGTGGAGTCAATATGTCCGGAGTTGTCGCCTCTTGTCTTCCTCCTGATGCCGATGTTGCCACTGGGGGTCTTCCCATCTGGTGATGCATTCCTTGCTGCTCGATGTCTATTCTGGCCGAAGAAAGTTGTTCCCTCTGAGCTATGTTACCACGCGTTTATTGAACGCGCCTTTGGCGTTCATTGAACGCCCGTTTGGCGTTCAGTTTTTGAACGATGTGAACGCGCATTCAATGAACGCCCCTAGACGCAGTTCACGCGTTTGCGCAGGGGTCTGTCAGGGCTGGGGGGGTGCCTCTGAGGGCGCTGGAGTGTCGGCGGTGTTCAGGGGAGCGTGCCGGGAGGTTTTGGTCCCGGAAAAGAAAAGAAAAAAAAAAAAAACGCGTTTCGTCGTAGGGCGATATATAGCGGGGGGAGCGTTCGCACGTGACACAGTCGTGCATTGCGCGTCGAACGTTCATGTGAACGACAGAACGCACGCACGAGAGAGAGAGAGAGAGAGAGAGAGAGAGAGAGAGAGAGAGAGAGAGAGAGAGAGAGAGAGTGCGCCATAGCGTGTGCACGCGGCAGAGAGAGAGAGAGAGAGAGAGAGAGAGAGAGAGAGAGAGAGAG